GGAGGGGGAGGGCGGGGAGGGGAGTCAGTCCAACGGCCCTCCCCACCTCGCGGCCCAGCCTCGCGTACACCGCCTCGCCGGCCAGTCGCTCACCTGGCCGCCGACAAGCTGCACCGGGAGCAGCGAACACGCATCGCGCCACGCGGCGCCCCCCGTCCCGCCCCGCCCCTCCCTACCCCGGCAGACGCCAGGCGCCGGTGCATCGGGTGTGCATCGCGAGGTGCTACGTTGCCCTCCGCAGGCAGCGCACTCCGCGGGCGAACATTGATCGGCTACCTTATTCGTGCTGTTGTGTGCGAGTGTGCGTGTCCGCGTTCGCGTGTGAGGAGGGCGACACCTGCGCGTCGTTGGACTCCCACTACTTCCCCCCGCGAGTGCGTCGTCGACCTCCAGGGGAGCGGTCTGCCGCGTCCAGTGCGGGTGGCACCGGCACCGGCCGCGCGAGGACGCCGGGAGAAGAAGACCCTCGACACTTGTGCGTGGAGCCTGCTGCCGCATGCCGCCGCGTGGTGAAGTGTGCTGCCCTTAATTGCCATGCCGCGCTCCCTCCCACGGACTTTCGCCCGCGGTCGGGGCCGCGCCGCGCCGGCCGCGCCTCCGCCGCGGGACAGCTAGAGCGACGGCCTGTCCGTCCCGCGCGTCCCCGGACGGCAGCGTCCCCCCGGTGGTGCATCACAAGGGATCGCCGCCGGCACCGCGGCACCGCGGCACCGCCGCCCGGCCCCGGCGCACCTGACGAGGAACCCGAGGCGGAGAGGACCCGCGAAACAGCCGGGCTTATCACGACCGTGTGTCGCAAGACTATCGCGCCTGTTTGCGCAGATAGGACCTCGGCTTGCCCTGGACCCAAGGTCGGCCGCCGCCGCCGAGGCCGTCGCCTGCTTCCCTGACCCGCCCCGGGCACCGGATGGCCGGCATTAAACGAGTGGTGATAACGCGAGCCGCTAACGCTCTTGAGTAGCTGTGCCAGCCGCGGGGACCGCCCGGGGCCGTGCGTGCAAGTCATCACCGCCGCCATGGAGTACCTGCAGCAGCGACCCAAGCGCGTCGACCTGGACCTGGCGCGCTGCAGCAGCACCTCGCACGGCACCTACGTGTCGCCCGTCGTCGTCGCGGACGGGCGACACCGCCGCTCCCTGCTCACCGCGGCGACGGCCGGCGCTGCCACTAGAACGACGACGACGGCGGCGTCTTCGTTGTTGACATCCACCTCGCCGACGTCGGCGAGCGAACGCCGATCCAAGACGCACCAGGACATGAGGGACTTCGTGAGCGGCATGACCCGCGAGCGGCAGGGCCAGGAGCGGCGCGATCGCCAGCAGTATTACTTCGGCGTGCCTCCGCACAGCCAGGTCGGCAGCGGCTTCATCAGCAACGGTGCCTTCTACAACGGCGTCGTCGAGCTGAGCAGGCGGCCGGACGGCGGCGCGGCGCGCTCCGGGGGCTCCGGGCGCCGCGCGCTGCGAGAGAAGAAGGTGGACGACGAAGACGACCTGCCGCTGCCCCCGCCCCCGCTACCACCATCACCGCCGATCCAGGAAGACGAGCGGCACGCCGACGCCGAGGACGAGGCCGGCGCCATGGAGCGGATGTTCCGGGAGGCCATGGCCGTGGCGGACAGGCGCCAGCAGCAGTGGCGCCAGCAGCCCGCGGGGCCGCCTGCCAGGACGCTATGGGAGCAGCGGCGGGAGGTAAGCCCCTCGTGTCGCCGGCGTGTCGCAATGCCAGGGCTTCAAAGCGGATCTCGCTCTCCTGGTCCGGTTCCCCGTCATGCTCCCGGGCCCGGGCCGGCTGCAGCTGGGCGGCGTCGCGTCGCGTGGGCCGCGCTGTGGGGTGTGGGCCAGGCCAGGCCCGGCCGACCGGTGGGAGGCGCTCGGGGTCCACGTGAGAGACAGGACTCGCCGCTGTCGTGTCGCCCGTGCCTGGCGCCCGGGCCCCTGCGTCCTTAGAGAGACTATAAGGAGAGAGGCGACAACTGCCGGGCGCGCCGCTGCGCTGTGATTGGCCAGCTCGCTTTGGTGCCCCAGCATGCACCCGCCGGGCGCTGAATGGCGGGGCCCTCCGCGCGCCTAGGGCTCGGGGCCCGCTCGGGCCCGCTTCGGCCGACCCGAGCCCCGAGCCGCGCGGCGCCCCGCCAGTCAGCGCCCGGCGGGTGCATGCTGGGGCACCAAAGCGAGCTGGCCAATCACAGCGCAGCGGCGCGCCCGGCAGTTGTCGCCTCTCTCCTTATAGTCTCTCTATGCGTCCTCGGTGCCGTTGGCTGTTTTGTCCTTGTGGGAAGCAGGTGCCCTGGCCGGGCCGCCTGATAAGTGTGCCGCAGCACCAGCCTTACCAACCTTAAAAGACAATGCACAAGCACTGGCAGGGGTTTTAATTACTTTTCCTTTTTCGAAATTAACTCTGCCTGAAAAAGAAATGAGTAGTAGATTAGCATTGCACCCGGTCCGGGGCCGGCCGGGGGACCCGCCGGAGATGGGACCTGGTGCCGGCCCGGGCTGTGACGGGTGGGGCAGGTGGGGCGGGGTGTGGTAAGGCGGGGCTGGCGGGTGAGGCACCGGGAATCCTTTTTCAGCGACGCGATCCGGGCGAACTCCACTCGAGTCCACTCCACGGTCTGTCGCATTCCAGTTGCGGGGCCCCGTCGCTTTTATTTGCTGCGGAGGTCACCTCCTGCCGCTCATTGCGTGGCCGCCTCGACCCGCCCCGCCCCGCCCCACCGGTGGCCGCCCTGGCCGCCGTGCGTGAGTCAATTCAATGGCCCAACCTGCGTGCGTGCGCATTGCACTGTGAAGGCGAGGAGGGCGGCGGGGAGGAGGAGCGACCGCGGCAGCAGGAGGATACTGTTTCCGTTCGCCGGTCCTTGTTTTCATATCCTCCCAAATAGGGTCGACCGGGACGGGGCCCAGCCGCTCCTCGCTCGGCGCAGAGAAGCGATGATGAATTAATTCAAGGCGCGACCTGAAAAATCGCGCGCTAGAGAGGGAGAGGTGGATAAAAATAGTCGTCGTTGGCAGCCGGTCGGTGGTGTTTTGCAGTGTATCGCCCCGCACCCGAGCGCGACTAATGGTCCAAGCAAGGCAGCCTCTATCCCGGCAAAACTCGGCCAATCTGGGGTAATTTGATGCCACATTAATGCAACGCTCGCAAATATAATTCCCTATGCATCGCGAGAAGTGCCGGATCGTTGTGGGCTCTGCGCGGTGGGGCGGCGCCTCCTATGGTCTGTCCGAGGAGCGACGGGGAAGAGACGGCGTGGAGGAGTGGGGGAGGAAGAGAGTACGAGTATATAGTATGAGAAGTAAGGCGACAGCAGGATCCTTTAGGCCCACGTAACTGCGTTGGTAATGCTCTCTGTCCCGAGAGTGGGCCGGGTTTGGCATTCGCGCGAGCAATTGCCGAGGAGCTCTGGGAATGAACGCCAAAGTCCAATGTTGGCAAAGCTGCTTGGGCTGGGTCTGGTCGGCACGGCGGACGGGACGGGACGAGCCGGCCGGGGGCTCGCGGTGCGTGCGTTCCCACTTTGGCGTGGAAGTGCGTGATGCGTGTGTGTGTGTGAGTGAGGATGTGGCTTGCTCCGGCCCGGGGACTGGCGGTCACGCCTGGAGAAGTCTTATGCAGCCGGGCTGTGCACCGCCGCCGGCTCCAGCCAGGCTCCAGCCAGCAAAGGGGCGCCCCGCGCTTCCCCTCATGTTTTTATCTATCGCTTGGCTACTGCCGGTGTTACGGCCTCGCGCGAGGCCCGCACACCGGAGGAGGCACGCCGGAGGAGCTCACCAGAGGCACCTTGGAGTGGTGCGCGACCCGCTGCCGCGGAGCTCACCGGAGGCACCCTGGAGTGGTGCGCGACCCG